AGTGATGCCTGGAGGTGATGGTTTTGAATCCAAAGGACTCTTTTGAAAACATATCTGGCATTGCTGCATAACAGACCTGACAATTTTGTCCTATGGGACACTGAGGATCTGAGGCCACAGACTGGTCCCCATTGCATCGATTCCCCAGAGCATAACTGGTGCTTGTCTCCTTTACAAATTACAGCATCAGCTGGGGAGGTCCTGACCTGGTTATTGGGAATTACCTCTCACCCACCCAGCCTCTTTATTGTGGGCTTTTAGATAAGCAGCCAATTTTCAATCTGTCCAACTCTATCCAGGCCTCACTTCTGGGGGTGAAATTCCTTTCTCAGGAATTAACACCAGGATGCTTTGCTGTGGATCCTCTCATGCAGCTTTATTACCAGTCTATTTCCCAAACAGATTTTTCAATCCCCGAGCTGTTGTGCCCTGTATTTTAGTATGGCCACTTCTTTCATCAGCTGGATGTAATCAAGGAGGAACAATATTTGTTGTTTACATTTAATCAGAGATCCCCGTGCTGTTAAATGACTTCTTTCATTGCATATGGCCAGTCAGTAATCCCAGGAGAGTTTCTTCTTTCAGTGATGCCTGGAGGTGATGGTTTTGAATCCAAAGGACTCTTTTGAAAACATATCTGGCATTGCTGCATAACAGACCTGACAATTTTGTCCTATGGGACACTGAGGATCTGAGGCCACAGACTGGTCCCCATTGCATCGATTCCCCAGAGCATAACTGGTGCTTGTCTCCTTTACAAATTACAGCATCAGCTGGGGAGGTCCTGACCTGGTTATTGGGAATTACCTCTCACCCACCCAGCCTCTTTATTGTGGGCTTTTAGATAAGCAGCCAATTTTCAATCTGTCCAACTCTATCCAGGCCTCACTTCTGGGGGTGAAATTCCTTTCTCAGGAATTAACACCAGGATGCTTTGCTGTGGATCCTCTCATGCAGCTTTATTACCAGTCTATTTCCCAAACAGATTTTTCAATCCCCAAGCTGTTCTTGCCTGTATTTTAGTATGGCCACTTCTTTCAGCAGCTGGACGTAATCAAGGAGGAACAATATTTGTTGTTTACATTTAATCAGAGATCCCCGTGCTGTTAAATGACTTCTTTCATTGCATATGGCTCCATGGGCATGAGCAATGCTCAAAGCAGATGGCAAGCGAGTTCCTGTGTTTGCTTCTTTTTTGCTGCCAATTCCAGAGCTCTTTGTAACACTGCGAGCTCCTCCCCTTGTTCCACATCTTCTTGCAGTTACAGTGAGCAGAGTATGTACCATAAACTTTTGTTCCAAATTAGATTTCCTGGCCACTTGGATGAGGAGAACCATTGCTGCTACAGCCCACATTCATCTGGGCCAATCCTGGCTGATTGAGTTGTTTGGGAAAGCACCCCACAGGTCCTCTGGAGTGTGAGTTGATAGAAATAAAATAGAAAGTTCCAGTTCCCCTGAAGGCACTGGATAGAGCTTAAAGACTAACTGTCAAACGCATGAAAAGTATGTAAAAATGTGCATATGCAGGATGAACATAGCTGAAGCCCGTGGAGAAACAGGTAAAGAGAACTTCAGTGAGCGCTTTTTGGCAAGTTCTGTAACAGAGAAGGAGCAGCACATGCCCAAAGCAAAAGTTCCAGGTGAGGTCATCTGGCATGTTGGGGCACTCAGTGAAAATGGCCCTCAGAGACCCCATTTTTATGGCCCTCCAGCACCATAAAGGAACTTGCAGAAAGAGGTGGCTCCATGCAAATTATTTCTTGAGAAAGTGCTGTTTCTGTATGAGATAAGAAGCTGATTGTAATGAATATTTATAATTAAGGGGGATAAATACCCTGTGGCAAAGTCGCCTCTTGAGCTGCAGGACCAGGAGAGATCTGCTGTGATTCTGAGCTGATGAAGAATTCTGAATTTGTGATACCTCCAATTCCATCAGGGAGTTTCACGACAGCTGATTTCGGTATTGTGGGCTGGGGGGACCCCTGGGGACACTTGAGAGAGGGACATGGGAGTAGGGCCATGGGGGGCTCCAATGGGACATGGTGGGGACAGGGGATGACCCCCAGCTTCGGGTTGGGGTCCTGGGCTGACACTGAAGGAGTCATGGCACTGGGAGCCAGTCCTGTGTGTGGGAGAGGGCTGAGAGGCACACTGGGGTGGGTGAGGGAGTGGCTTTATGAATTTGGGTGAGGTTCCTGAAGGGCCTGGGATCAGAAGAGGTCTAAAGAGGTGTGGGAGCATGACTGAATTCCTGGGGAGCACTGGGGGGACATCAGAAGGGTAAACACAGGATTGGGATTGGGACTGGGGACTGGTGGGGCACTGAGGGGATACTGGGGTGGTCAGGGATTGTCCCCAGGGTTTGGATTGGGGAACAGTGGAGGGGGTGGGTTGACATTAGGGGGGAAGAGGCACGGGATTGGGAGTGGTGTTCTGGGGCTGGTGGGCACAGGGACAGCACTGGAGGGGGCACAGAGGTGGGATCTGGGGCAGCACTGCTGGGGGCACAGGGTGTGACCCCAGAATTTGGGTCAAGTTCCTGGGTATCACTAAGGGGACACCAGTGGTAGGGGACATAGTACCACGGGTGTGGGATTGTTGTCCTGGGAGGCTGAGGGGTACTGGGGAGTCCGGAAATAACATCAGGATTTATGATCAGCATCCTAGGATGTGTTCATGGGTCTTCTGGCCTGAGTTGCCCCTCAGCCCTGCTCCAGACAGACACCAGGTCCCCTCCTCAGCCCCTCAAAGAGGAACCTTCCCATGTAACCCTGTGTGTCCTAAGTGTCCCCTGAGTGTGTCCCCCTTTTTTCCCCAGTGTCCCACCCAACTCCTGGTGGTCCCTGTCTGCCATGGCCCTCCTGGCTCACACCCTGGCACTGCTGGCAATGACCGTAGCCACCACGGCCATCAAGGTGGTGCCCCTGGACATGGCCCGGGACTCCTTTGATGACCAGTACCAAGGCTGTGGCCCTGCCATGACCATGGCATTGCCATCCCTCTACAACTTTGAGTTCCAGAAGAATCCTCTCTTTGCCCAGACCTGGGTGAAGGCCGAGGCTGAGTGGCGCAAGCGGGGCTCCCCTGTGTCCCCTCTGTCATCCCCAGCCCAGGCCGTTGCTGTCATGGCCTACACAATGAAGTATCTGTACAAGGAGTTCAATGCAGCTGTGCACGTGGCGGGACGCTCCCGCCAGGAATACCGGAACAACTTCCACTTCAAAACGCTGCATTTCCTGCTGACCCAGGCACTGGTGTCACTGAGGCATGCTCAGAATTCTCAGTGTCACCATGTGTTTCGGGGTGTGCGTGACATTAATTTCAAGGCACGGCGTGGTCAGAGGGTCCGGTTTGGTCAGTTCACATCGACGTCGCTGAGCAAAGAGATCGCCCAGCATTACGGGACAGACACGATTTTCGAGCTTCACACGTGCCATGGTGTGAACATCCAGGCATTTTCTTATGATCGCAACAACCGAGAGGTGCTGATCCCACCATACGAAACCTTTGAGGTCACCAAAGTCACCTGGAATGGGAAGAGGGCATGGATCAGTCTCCGCTCCACCGGGACCTTCAGCAAATACAACTGCGCGTTGCTGTGAGGTGACAGCACAGGGGACAGCCTGGGCTGATGGGGACACCCACTGTGGTGCATGGGGACGCCCATGGTATGGCTCAGAGGACAATGACAGTCACTGGGGATGGGGGACAGGGACATGGACACCCACAGTGTTTGGGTGGACAAGCACATCCACAGCTAGGGACAAAGAAAGGGTTACCCAGTGCAGGGAACACCCAGTGAGAATGTGAGGACAGGGACACTCACCACTGTGGACAGGGGACACCCATGACAGGGCACAGGGATGGAGACCCTTATATCTGGGAGGAGATAGGGACAGAGACAGCGACAGAAGTGTCTTTTTCACAGAGGTGCATCTGACTTCTTAACGGTTTGACAAACTGCCAGTTACACAAAAAACTTTTGCCTCACTTCCCTAAATGACTCCATTGTCAAACAATGATATGGCCAAAGCCAGTGCTGCGGGGACAGGCTCTGTGTGCTGGATGTGGGGGAACCAGGACCACTCCATGGCACTCCCTGAACCCCTGTCACGACCTGTCATCCCCCATGGCACCCACTGACTCCCCCTGAAACCCTGTCGCCTCTAAGCCCACCATGAGCCCCCCATACCTCCCTGGTCCCTGAACCCATCTGTGCACCATCGCACCTTGTCACATGTCACTTCATGGCCTCCATCTCTCCTGTCACCCCTAACCTCCCATTATGGCCATCCCTGACCACCTCACTCCATCCATGGTCCCCCTGACCCACCTCTTTGTCCCCCAGGTCAAAGGAGTATCCCCATGGCCTCCTTCCACCTCAGAGGACTCCTCCTGGACACTGCATGTCTGGAAGTGGCCACCGGGATGCTCTGAGCCACAAGGCCACCAGGGCCACAGGCTCACTGTGGTTACTGTGGTCACTGTGGCAACCAAGGCAACCATGGATGCCAAGGTCACTGCCATCACTGTGGCCACCATGATCAGCAAGACTACAGGAGCCACAGGACTACCACAGCCACTTGGACCACTGTGCCCTCCAAGGAAATTGTGCAAAACAATTCCATTAAATAATTCTATCAAAACAATTCTATTAAATAGATCTGTCACAGCCATCCAAAGGTGACAATTCCTAAGCAGGGCTCAATGTCACTTCCTAGAACAACACTCGTGGGAGCATCTCTTTCTCTCAGCCTTGGGGAAGATCCTTGGGGAACAATCCCTTCCTGAGGCAGGAATCTCACAGGCATTTCATTCCAAGCAGGAACAGGGGAGAGGAATCTCTGTCTGAGAGGGAAGTGGACACTCTCACGGTCTGATGATGCACAGCCACACCCAGCTCTGGTGCTTCATCCTCAGTTGTCAATTCGGGGTTGGGTGTTTGGGCTGGTTTTAGGCCAATTCAGCACCAAAACCAGCATGAGACCAGGCTGCACTCAGTGCAGCCCCAGTGGCCACAAATGGGGCATTGACCCTTGGTCATATTCCAGGCAGAGCATCCTGCCTCATCCTGCACCTCAGAGGGAACTCAAAGCCTGGATATATGCTGTGATTCTGTGATTCTGTGAAACTGGGAGGTTCAAGAGAGGGAGGGCAGGTCCTGCCTCTGGAGAGGGACAGTCCCCAGTGCCCATCCAGGCGGAGGGAGATCTGCTGGAGCAGCTCTAGAGAAGGACCTGGCATGCTGGTGGGTGACCATTGGAGCAGGCCATGTGGCATGTAACCAGGAGAGATCCAGGGGTTTTTGGGAAGAGCAGGGCCAGGAGGTCAAAAATGTTCCTGTCCCTGCCCTTCCCAGGGAGGCACATGGAAGAACATTTTCTGAAACTGATAGTTTCTCCACTCACTTCCTTATCTACAAGTCACAGGCCTTATCTACCACCAGATTCACACAATCTGTAAAGAAACATGCCTCTTATTTCTTTCTAGGTTAAATTAATTAGGATGTGGAAATAGAGATTGGTTGGGTTTAAGTCCAGAATATGTGGGAATTCACAGAATTTGGGCAAGAATGCAAATAAATCAATGTCCAAAGATGTAAAGGGGAGTTAATGAAATGTGGGGGGTGGGGAGCAGGTAGGATTTTCTTTTTCTCTTCTCTTCTGCTTTTTCCTCTTTTTCCTCCAGGGAAAATGGCAGTGGTGGCCTTGGTAGCTTTGCTTGCCTCTTTCTGTGGGGATCATGATGGCCTTGGTGATCGTGGAGATGACTGTAACCTTCATTTCTTCATGGCTCAGACAATCCTGGTGGCCACTGCCAGGGCTGTAGTGGCCAGGAGGAGCCCTCTGAGATGGGACGGGGCCCTGGAGATGTTCCTGCCTTGGAGGAAGAAGAGGGGGATGAGTGGTCCATGTAGGTGAGGGTGTAGATGGGGGTCAGAGAGGGGTCAGGGATTACAGGAGTACAGGGGGGGGCCATGAGGGGGGATCAGGATGGATGGAGGACCATGGGAGTGGGGATCAGGGGGGTCAGGGGGTGTGTCAGGGCTTCAGAGGGGTTGGTAACACAGGGTGAGGAGAGATGGGGGCCTTGGCTGGTAGGAGGGTTGGGGGTGGTCAGGTTGCCAGGAGGGAGATTGGTGGTCAGGGGGCCAAGGGTGTTTAGGGATGATAGGGTGTCAGGGGGGCAGTGGGGTAATACAGGGAGCAAGGGGTTTCAGGGGGGTCATGGTGGGCTTTAGGACTGACAGTCGTCGGGGGTATACAGGGGGTGCTATGAGCAGTGTCAGAGGGGTGCCAGGGGGGTCAGGATGGTCCCAGCCCACCTGTATTGAGCACACAGGGCTGGTCCCCACAGAGCTGGTCTGCAGAGGGGAGGCACAGAGTCAGCACAGGGTGGTCCCTGTCTCTGTCCCTTTCCCTGTCCCTGTCCCTGACCTCCCCTGGCACGGGCATCCCTGTCCCCTCCCAGATGTGGTGGTCCCCATCCCTGTGCCATGCCATGGGTGTCCCTGTTCCTGTCCCACATCACCTGTGGGTGTCATTGTCCCCTGTGCCTCATCATGGGTGTCCCCATACCCACAGTGGGTGTCCCTGTCCTCCAGGTTTTCCCCATGATGTCACGTCGTAGCCACTCGCAGCTGTATCTGCTGAAGGTCCCGCTGGAGCGGAGCTGGATCAATGCCCTGTCTCCTTCATGGGTGACACTGGTGACCTCGAAGGTCTCGAAGGGTGGGATCAGCACCTCCTCCTCACTAGGATTGGAGGAGAATTCTCGGATGTCTACGCCGTAACACGTCTGCACCTGGAACATCGTGTCTGTCCCAAATTGCTGAGCGATCTGTTTATGCAGCGATGTCGATGTGAAGCGACCGAACCGGACGGTCTCACCACACCGCCCCTCAAACCGGACGCCACGCACCCCCCGGAACACATGGTGACATCGTGGTCCCCGAGTGTCCCTCAGTGTTGCCAGGGCATCGGTCAGCAGGAAATGCAGCGTTTTGAAGTGGAAGTTGTCCCGGTATTCCTGGCGGGATCGCCCGGCCACGCACACAGCATTGTTGAACTCCTTGTACACGTCCTTCATTGTGTAGGTCATGAGGGCGATGGCCTGGGCTGGGGACAGAGGGGTCACAGGGGGCCCCCGCCTCCACCACTCAGCCACAGCCTTCACCCAGACCCGGGCGAACAGAGGATTCTGCTGGAACTCAAAGCTGTTGAGGGCTGGCAACAACTCGGTCATGGCGTGTCGGCAGCCCCGGTACTGGTCATCAAAGGAGTCCCAGGCCATGTCCAGGGGCACCACCTTGATGGTGCAGGTGGTCATGGCCATTGCCAGCAGTGCCAGGGTCCAAACCAGGGGATCCAGAGAGGGGAGAGGCTACCATGAGCAGTGTGAGACACTGGGTGACACTGGGAAACTGAGAGGACATGGTGAGACATGGGGAACACTGAGGAACATGGCAGAACACTGATGGGACACTGAGAGGATGATGAGGGGACATGGAGGAACACAGAGGGACATGGAGGGACACCAGGGAACACAGGGAAGGTCCCTCAATCAGGGAATGGGGAAAGAGGGTGGTGTCAGCCCAGGGAGGGGGGGAAGCCTTTGCCAAGAGATCCCTGGACACATCCTGGGAGCCTGATCTCAAATCCTGGGGTCACTCCTGGATGTCCCAGTGTTCTCCAGTCCCTCCAGGGATCCAAATTTCACACCCACAGTCTTGAGTCCTTCCCCAGTGTCTTTTTACCCCCTCCCAGGACCCCAGTCCAAATCTGGGGATCACCCCCTGCCCCATGCAGTGTCCCCCAGCCTTCCCATGACCCCAGTCCCACTCCCAGCCCCCCCCACCCCGTATGCCCCCCAAAGCCCAGCGAATCCCAGTCACGTGTCCCCCAGTGTCCCTCAGCTTCCCCCAGGATTCCAGTCCCATGTCACATTCTCCCCCAGGGTCCCCCACAGTTCCCCCCAGGGCCCTATCCCAATGCCATGGTCTCATCTCTCCCCCAGGTGTCCCCAAAGGCACCCAGCCTCTCATACCAAAATTGGATGGAGTGAACTCCCTGATGGAACTGGAGATACCAGAAAGGCAGAATTCTTTATCAGCATGAGTCACAGAAGATCTCTCCTGGACTAGCAGGACAAGGGGGCCTTTGCCACATAGAACCTATCCATCATACTTATACATATTCATCAAAATGCACTTCCTACATAATACAAAACTGACATTTTTCCCGTAAATAATTTGCATGGCTCTGCCTCTTTTAGGAAATAATTTTTATTGCCCTGGAGTGTCATAAAAATGGGGGTTCTGGGGGTCATTTTCATTAAGTGCTCCAATATCTCAGATGACCTTGCCTCAAACTTTCATTTTTGCAGGCACTTCTCCTTCTGTGTTACAGAACTTGCCAAAAATCCCTCATTGGCATTCCATTTATCTCTTTCTCCACAGGTTCCAGAAACCTTTGCTCTTCTGTGCCCACACTTTTACATCCTTTAGTGGTTTTTTGCCCATTCATCTTTAAGCTCTATCCTGCACCTTCAGGAGAACTCAAACTTTGTATTCTCTCTCTTATGGCTCACCCACCATGACCCCAATCCCATCGTCCCATGTACCCCCCAGTTCCTCCCAGTCCCACTCCCCACTGCTCACTGAGTTGCTGCCACACCTCAGATACCAATATGGGTCCCCTATTGGATGACATCCCTGTTGGTGCCTTCAGCCTGAGGATGGTCTCTTGGGGGAGTACCTGGGTGACTTCCCTGGCCTTGCTGGTGTGGCAGGAGAACTCCTTCTGGAGCCCCCAAAAAGGGATCCACCAACACCAGGAGACACCTGAGCCTATGCTGGCGTGGTAGCTCAGAAAATCCATTTGCCAGGTATCATTGGGATTGTTTCCTCTTTCAGTGATGCCTGCAGGTGATGGATTTGAATTCAAAGGGATATTTTGAAAACATATTGGACATTGCTCTGTAACAGACCTGACAATTTTGTCCTATGGACACTGAGGATCTGAGGCAACAGACGGGCTCCCATTGCATCGATTCCCCAGAGTTTTGCTGGTGCTTTTCTCCTTTACAAATAACAGCATCAGTTGGGGAGGGCCTGACGTAGTTATTGGGAGTTACCCAATAACTCTCACCCACCCACCCAGCCTCTTTATTGCGGGCTTTTAGATAAGCAGCCAATTTTCAATCTGCCCAACTCTATCCAGGCCTCACTTCTGGGGGTGAAATTGCCAGAAGAATTTCTCAGGAATTAACATCAGGATGCTTTGCTGCAGAACCTCTCATACACCATTAATGCGAGTCTATTTCCCAAATGGATTTTTGTATCCCGAAGGTGGTGTGCCCTGGATTGTAGCACAACCACTTCTTTGGGCAGCTGGGTGGAATCAAGGAGGGACAATAACTCTTGCTTATATTTAATTGAAAATCCTTGTGCTGTTACTTGAATTCTTTATTTCCATATGATTCCATATTGGAAGGAGCAATGCTCAAAGCAGACGGTAAGTACTTCCTACATAATACAAAACTGACATTTTTCCCGTAAATAATTTGCATGGCTCTGCCTCTTTTAGGAAATAATTTTTATTGCCCTGGAGTGTCATAAAAATGGGGGTTCTGGGGGTCATTTTCATTAAGTGCTCCAATATCTCAGATGACCTTGCCTCAAACTTTCATTTTTGCAGGCACTTCTCCTTCTGTGTTACAGAACTTGCCAAAAATCCCTCATTGGCATTCCATTTATCTCTTTCTCCACAGGTTCCAGAAACCTTTGCTCTTCTGTGCCCACACTTTTACATCCTTTAGTGGTTTTTTGCCCATTCATCTTTAAGCTCTATCCTGCACCTTCAGGAGAACTCAAACTTTGTATTCTCTCTCTTATGGCTCACCCACCATGACCCCAATCCCATCGTCCCATGTACCCCCCAGTTCCTCCCAGTCCCACTCCCCACTGCTCACTGAGTTGCTGCCACACCTCAGATACCAATATGGGTCCCCTATTGGATGACATCCCTGTTGGTGCCTTCAGCCTGAGGATGGTCTCTTGGGGGAGTACCTGGGTGACTTCCCTGGCCTTGCTGGTGTGGCAGGAGAACTCCTTCTGGAGCCCCCAAAAAGGGATCCACCAACACCAGGAGACACCTGAGCCTATGCTGGCGTGGTAGCTCAGAAAATCCATTTGCCAGGTATCATTGGGATTGTTTCCTCTTTCAGTGATGCCTGCAGGTGATGGATTTGAATTCAAAGGGATATTTTGAAAACATATTGGACATTGCTCTGTAACAGACCTGACAATTTTGTCCTATGGACACTGAGGATCTGAGGCAACAGACGGGCTCCCATTGCATCGATTCCCCAGAGTTTTGCTGGTGCTTTTCTCCTTTACAAATAACAGCATCAGTTGGGGAGGGCCTGACGTAGTAGTTACCCAATAACTCTCACCCACCCACCCAGCCTCTTTATTGCGGGCTTTTAGATAAGCAGCCAATTTTCAATCTGCCCAACTCTATCCAGGCCTCACTTCTGGGGGTGAAATTGCCAGAAGAATTTCTCAGGAATTAACATCAGGATGCTTTGCTGCAGAACCTCTCATACACCATTAATGCGAGTCTATTTCCCAAATGGATTTTTCTATCCCGAAGGTGGTGTGCCCTGGATTGTAGCACAACCACTTCTTTGGGCAGCTGGGTGGAATCAAGGAGGGACAATAACTCTTGCTTATATTTAATTGAAAATCCTTGTGCTGTTAATTGACTTCTTTCTTTCCATATGACTCCATATGGGCATGAGCAATGCTCAAAGCAGATGGCAAGTGAGTTCCTATGTTTGCTCTTTTTCTCATTGCCAAGTCCAGAGCCCTTTGTCACATATCGAGCTCCTCCCCTTGTTCCACGTCTTCTTGCAGTTACAGAAGCAGAGTATATAACATAAGCTTTTCTCCCAAATTGTATTTCCTGGCCACTTGGAATGGGACTGTGGGATTGGCATCTGGGGGGGTACTAGAGGTGTCACATTGCAGGGACTGAGGTCCAGGGGCAATGATGGGGGACACAGGACCATGGGAGTTGCAGTGGGGTACTGGGGGACATTGGGGGGCACTTGGGGGCACATAAGACTGGATCGGTGTCCAGGGGTCAGCAGGGTGGTCATGGGACTGGCAGTGGGATTGCGGTATGGGATGGGGACAAGGGGGACACTGCGGGGACCACAGGCCTTGGGTCAGGGCCCTGGGCGACATGGGGGTCACTGGGAGTGGTACAAGAGACTTGGAGATGGATGGGGGTAACAGAGGCACTGGGAAACACTGGGAGGGGGGACACAGAACTATGGGAGTGGGACTGGGAGTCTAGGGGACACTAGGGCTTGCAGGAGTGACCCCAAGATTTGGGATCAGATTCCAGGACATGTCCAGGGGTCTCCTGGCCAGGGCTACTCCCCTCCCCTGGCTGACCCCACTCTTCCTTCCAAGCAAGCCTCCCCATGTCACCCCATGTCCCTGGCCCTGCCATGACTGAAGCCTTGCCAGCCCTCAAAAGCTCTGAGTTCCAGGAGAACAAAGAGTTTTCCCAGGTCTGGGTGAATGCCACGGCTGAGTGGCAGAAGAGGGGGTCATATTCATCCACTCTAACTAAAGACCAAGCCATTGCCCTTATGGCCTACACAATGAAGGACGTGTACGAGGGGTTCAATAAAGCCGTGCGAACAGCTGGAAACTCCAGCCAGGAATACCGGGACAACTTCCACTTCAAAACACTGCATTTCCTGCTGACCCAGGCCCTCCAGAAGCTGAGAGACCCTAATGAGTGTCTGGACGTGTTCCGAGGGGTGAATATCTACCAGTTTGAGGTGAAGACTGGCGATAAAGTCCGCTTTGGTCAATTTGCTTCAGCGTCGCAGAGCAAAGAGGTCACCCAGGGTTATGGCACAGACACGAGATTCAAGGTGCACACATGCCATGGTGTGGACATCCACAACTTCTCCTTCAAGCAACATGAGAAGGAGGTGCTGATCCCACCCTTTGAGACCTTTGAGGTCACTGATGTCCACACAGAAGGAAGCACGTTGAACATTGGGCTTCGCTCCACTGGGAACTTCAGCAACTACAACTGCGAGTGGCTGCGAGGTGACATCATGGGAACAACCGGGGGGGATGGGGACACTCAGTGAGGGTTGGGGACAAGGACACACAGTGCTGGGGACACCCATGGCCCAGAGGGGACAGGGACACCCACTGTGGGTGGGAGGCAGGACACCCAGAGCGGGGGACAAAGTCACTGACAGCATTGCTGGGGCACAGGGGATGGGGACACCCAGTGCCAGGCAAGGGGGACAGGGACATCCAGTGTTGGGGTTGGGGGGACAAGGTACATAGTAAATGGCTGGGCACAGGGGAAATGGACCTTGTTATGGCTCCCTCTGACCCCACACCCTGAGGGCCACCCACCACCTGTGTCCATCCCACCACGGCCCTCCTGATGCCCCCCGACCCTCTCACCTCATGATCCCCCTGACCCCAATCTTTGTCCCCACAGGTGGGAGTCTCCCCAGGAACTCTCCCGACTTTGGAGGAGTTCTCCTGGCTACCGTGGCCATGGCAGTGGCCATTGGAACCTTCTAAGCCATGAGACCACCAAGGTCACTGTGGAAGGCCACCTGGATCCCCAGAGAAACGAGGCCACCAAGGCTACCGAGGCTATTATGACGACTATGGTGCCTTTGTCCACTGTGAACACTGTGGCCGTTATTGCCACTGTGGCCATAGTGACCATTATTGCCAGTGTGGCCATCATGGTCACTGTAACGATGTGTCCATCCTGGAAAAGCCCCTCGGAGAGCTGCTCAGCAAGGGAGCAGTGCCAGGGCACCAGGACCAGCACAGAGGAGCTGGAGCAACCAGGACAGCGCAGAACAGCAGAGACAGCAGAGACTGGGCTGCACCTGGGGCCACTTGGGCACTTCCTGATAGAGGGGCTTGGGAGTACCAAAGTCACAGCCACCTTCTAACGCTCCTTAACTGCCTCGCCTCATTTATCAATAAATTGCTGCTTGCTCACCTTGTGTATCAAAAATGTATCAAAAACTTGATCCTTGCTCCCCTGGCGTACCAAATGTTTATCAGAAATCTGATCCTTGCTTTGTCTCAGTATCAAAACCTTACTAAAATTTGCTGCTGGCTCACCTGATGTATCTCTACAGCTCCTTTAACGCCTTTCCTGCAGGGAACCTCATTTCCTAAAATAAAGCAGTTCCTGCAGTTTTTGTTAGAGGCAATTCCAAGCTTTAATTTTCCAAACCTCGATCTACAAAGAGGTGCTGGAGAAATGTTCCTTCCTTTTTCCTCATTCACAGCAGCCCCTCACAAAGTACATGGAGGGGCTGGAGCATGTCCAGGGAAGGGATGGAGCTGTGGAAGGGTCTGGAGCACCAGGAACAGCTGAGGGGCTCTGCAATGGTTTGGGATGGAGCGACCCTCACCTCCTGGCCCTGCTCTTCCCAGCACCCCTGGGTCCCTCCTGGCCCCAGGCCACACAGCCAGCTCCTCTGCTCACCCATCAGCACACACAGGACCTTCTCCTCAGATCAACCCTAGCAGATCAACCCTAGCTGGAACTGCCACTGAGGTCTGTCCCTCTCCCGGGCAGAACCTGCCCTTGCCCTCTTGAACCTCCCAATTTCCAGCCTTTAAGGTCCTCCTGAAGTGCAGGATGTGGCAGGATGCTCTGCCCGGAATGTGGACCACAGACAATGCCCCATTTGTGGCCATTGCAGCTGCATTGGGGAGGTCTGCTGCTGATTATGGCACTGAATGGGGTAAAACCAGCAAAAATCACAATCCCAGAATTGACAACTGAGGGTGAACCACCAGAGCTGGGCGTGGCCGTCCATCAGCTGATCCTGGGAATGTCCAGTCCCCTCTCAGACAGGGATTGTTCTCCCATATTCTGCTTGGAATGAAATGTGTGTGAGGTTCCTCCCTCAGGAAGGGGATGCTCCCCCAGGTTCCCCCTTGAGGCTGAGAGATAGAGATGCTCCCACGAGTGTTGGTGTGGGGAGTGACATCGAGCCCTGCTTAAGGATTGTCACGTTTTGCTGGCTTTGTCAGAATTATGTAATGAAATTGTTTTGATGGAATAGTTTAATAGAATTGCTTTGCAAAATTGTATTGGTAACCATGGTGGCTGTGGTAGCCTTGTGGCTGAGGGATTTGAGGTGATCATGGCGGCCTAGATGGTTTTTGTGACCATGGGGCCAGAGTGGCTGTGGTGGCCGCAGTTGCCACAGCCACAGTGGTGGCCCCAGAGACCTCATGGTGGCAAGAGCTGCCAAGGTGGCCATAGTGGCAGTGCTGGCCTTGGTAGCCTCATTTCTTTGGGGTTCCTGGTGGTCTTGGTGATTGGGGTGGCCACAGTGATGACTGTGACATTGGTGCCATGGTGGCCATGGTTGCCAGAGTGACCACAGTGACCTCAGAGACCACAGTGGATTCGTGGCTCGGAAAATTTCAGTGGCCAATGCCAGGGGCGTGGTGGCCAGGATGAGTCCTCCAAGTTGGAAGGAAGCCCTGGGGACGCACCTACCAGCAGGACAAAGAGAGGCATGAGGGGGATCATGGGAGGAGTGAGGGCATCAGTTACTGCCATACTGGTGGGCTTGGGATGGCAGGAGAGATGACATGAGGTGACAGGTGACAGGGTGTCAGGCAGGGCACAGGGAGTAGAGGCACCAGGGAAGCCAGGGGGGTCATGGGATGCTTAGGAGTGAGAGGAGTCAGGGAGAGTCAGGGGGTGCTGTGGGAATCCATAGGATTAGAGGATTTTAGGAAAACTGGGAAAAAGAAAGGCCTCAGAGACAGTAAAGATCATCGATCCATTGTCATAGCCATGGAATGAGACTGATGCTGCTTAAATAAACAGCTCACGACGCTATTCAGATGTGGTCCCGTTCTGTTCGTGTCTGTATATAAATGGTGCCCTGTGTGAGGAGAACGTTAGACTAGGATAAAGAAGAAAATCTTGGAAAAACTCGGGCGCCGGAGACCCAGGTTGTTAAACAGGAGGAATGCATCATTCCCTCTTTGTCTACATCTGATGTCTTTGTAAGTAATCTTTTTCTAGGGGCTTCCTGGGTGACCAAAATGGGAAATAATTTATCTAAAACAGAATGGGACGTTTTTTACCATCTTGAGAAAATATTACAAGATAAAGGACGTTCAGATATCTCAAAAAATGAACTGAAAGACTTATTAGTCTGGGTAAAAGCGAACACTCAAAATATAGACTTGCAGTCTGCTTTTACCTTTGGTTTTTGGGATCAAATAAACTGGAAAATCTATGATCTGTTCTCTCTCAAAAAGGACGAGACTGTAAGGAAACTCCTGCCTGTTTCCCGGACTTTGTTAGAGTGTTTTAAACAAACTGACTGTGACACAGACATCTCCAAACAACATTACAAAATATCTTGCTCAGACCCTTTAAATCCAAGTAATACCGGGTCACCCTCCTTTTCTGTGGAAGTTTTGGGTTCCCCTCAGAGTTCCTTCCCTTCTGAAGCGTTGAGTGCTTTTCTCGGGAACGATAACGGTGTCGGGTCCTCCGGAAACTGCAAATCGGAACAGCTACCAGCTCCGGTTGTGTCCCCTGCTTCTTCCAGGCTTGTCAGCGTCTCTGCAGTTGAGAGCAGTCCTTCGCCGCTCCCTCTGGGAAAAAATGAACTTTTGCCACGTAGGGAAATTTGTTCGGAAATTTTGTTGCATTCCGGGAATGAGAATGTGCACGTGTTCTGTTCGGGGGTGGGTGGGGGGTGTGTGAAGGTGGTAGATGATAATTTGCAGAGGTTTTGTGATAAAGGAATTATGTGTTCTGAAACTGTACAAGCAGGGAGGGCCAAGACAGGCTTGGGATCTGTTTTGCCTGGTTGGGGGGCTGTGGGGGTCACTCCTGACACTGCTTCCTCTTCTCGGGCAGACACCCCCTTGGGTTCGGTTCAGGCGGGCAGTGTGTGTTACCATTCGAAAAATCCTTTTCTAGTGAATTGTTCTGTTAAGTCTCTGCCAGGTTTTTCTATGGCTCGCCAAGCTTTTGGTACAGAGGATGAAATAGCTGTAGCTGTGACGCTGCCTTCAGAGAACAGGGCAGGGGGAAAGATATGTGAAACATGCAGTAAGGTTTTAGAAATTATCAGAGATATAAATTCAAGGACAAGTAGCCAGGCTGAGACAAATTTTGGATTTATTCCACGATCCAGAGAACACACCTCCTCCCCGGCCCCTCTTGGGAGGGCTCCAGAGGGGGCGTGGTCCTTGGCCGAGCCCGCCTCTGTCCCTCTGGGCAGGGCTCCAGGGGAGGCGTGTTGTTCAGGTGTCTCTGCCAAGAATTCGGAGGCGTGTTCTCCCGCCCATACTGGCAGAACTCCTGGGAAAGTTCGTTGCTACAGCAACGCCGCTGCCAAGAATTCGGACACTGGCAGGGTTCCTGGATCAGCCACTGTCAGTGAAACTGTCAATTCCAACCCTGATCCCCCTTTAAAGCTGCCGGACTGGTCTAATATTAATCAACAATTAGAAAAAGATTTGGATTCAAGGAAACAACTCCTTGCATTACCTGCAAGATATGGTCGTAATGATGCTAAGCCAAGATATGAAAGTCTTACTCACCATGACATAAAGGAATTACGTCAGGCTTTGAAAGAAAGTGGGTTCTCTTCTCCTCATTTTAATAGTGTGCTGAAAAGTACTTTTAATCCTTATGATTTAGTCCCTGCTGATTGTCGAAATGTGGCTTCCCTGATTTTGACCAATTCACAATATCTACTATGGGAATTACAATGGAAAAAACTTCTTAATAAGTTGGTTGAAAAATATGCAAATACTGATTATGCAGAGTTAGATGTTGTTCAATTAGCAGGTGATCCACCTTACCATAGAGCGGAAAATCAAGCAGTAGATTTGCCTCGGCCTGTATTAGCAGATATTAAAGATGCTGCTAGGAAGGCTTTATTTTCAGTAGAGCCAGCTGGCACACATGTAAATTCTTATAGGTTGATTAAACAAGGTGAAACAGAATCCTATGGTTCTTTTTTGGATAGATTAACCCAAGCAGTTGAAAGGCAATGTCCAGATGAACAAGCTCGTGCTTATATTGTTCAAAACCTTGCTTTTGTAAATGCTAACGATGAATGTAGAAAAATTATTTCAACTTTGCCTGATCAGCCTCCAGCTGCTGTGCAGATGTTAACAGCATGCAGCAGAATGAGTGGACCACAACACCTTGCTAATTTACAGGTCAATGCGTTAGGAAAAACATTAGAAGATATTTTACAAAACGAATGGATAAATTTGAAAAGCTCTTGGAAAAACTTTGGGAAAATTCTGTTAGCACTGTGCAGTTGGACTCTGATAAAAGGCCTTGTTGCTTTGCTTGTGGTAAACTAGGTCATGTTGAAAGGGATTGTCGTGCAAAAACGTTTCCACCAAAACAACTTTCTATCTGCCCTCGATGCCGAAAAGGGAGGCATCTTGCTAAGCATTGTCACTCTCATTTTGATATCGATGGCAGACCTCTGTCATCAAACTTCAGAAACAACGCGCACTACCACCGCGCTCAGACACAAGTAGTGGTACCCCCTGGCAACCAGGCACCCAATCAAATGGTGTTGGTACCTCAGTCATTTGTGCCTCAATCAACCAATCCTCAAATGGTTCCAGCTCAATATCCTCAAGTGCAAGGCTCGAATTGGCCTGCTGTCCAGATAGCGAGCTGCTCGCATCAATCCATTGTCATAGCCATGGAATGAGACTGATGCTGCTTAAATAAACAGCTCACGATGCTATTCAGATGTGGTCTCGTTCCATTCGTGTCTTGCACTTGAAGTTCCTATAGTAATCCCTCCAAAAAACCTATTGCTATTGCATTTCTGTCACCTATGAGTACCCACAAGCAAAACAACTTTCCAATGAATTCAGTTGTGACTGTACCTTCTAGCACCTCAGGTCTAGAGGTCTTTTGGGTGCAATATTTGGACCACGACCGACCTCAATTGACTTGTAGCCTGACTCACAGTGGTAAAACAACTTATGTTACAGGCATGCCGGATACCGGCACAGATGTCACTGTAATTTCTCACATGTTGTGACCTAATGATTGGAATTTGGTAGCTCCTTCAGGTTCCCTCAGCGGGATTGGAGGTGCTACTGTGTGTCTGCAAAGTGCATCCACGATTAACATTACAGGTCCTGAAGGAAAGACTGCACCGGTGCGTCCTTTTGTTGTTCAGTTCAGTCTGGGGGAGAGGCATCCTGCCCCAATGCAGAGCAAAACTGGAAGTGGGCCTGTGATGACAACCACATCGAAACCTGCCACTTTAAACATTGCCTGGAAAACCGATCATCCTATATGGATTGACCAATGGCCTCTAACAGAGAAAAAATTAAATATCCTTAATAAATTGGTAAAGGAACAATTACAGCAGGGTCTCATCGTCCCAGCAAACAGTCCCTGGAATTCACCAGTCTTCATCATACACAAGAAGACATCGGACTCCTGGAGGTTGCTTCATGACCTGAGGAGGATCAATGAGGTGATCGAAGACATGGGACCCCTTCAACCTGGACTCCCCTCTTTACCAATGATCCCAAAACACAGGTCTCTTGTCGTCATTGATTTAAAAGACTGTTTTTTCCACATTCCACTTCACCCCGATGATGCTCCAAGATTTGCTTTTTCAGTTCCCGTCATCAAACGAAGAGAATCTGTGCAGAGATATCACTAGAAATCACTGCCACAAGGGATGAAGAACTCGCCTATAATTTGTCAATATTTCGTTGCCCAAGCTTTGTCTCCTGCTCGACAGAAGTTTCCAAGATCTATGATTTTACACTACATGGATGGTTTGGATGATCTATGATCTATGATTATACACTACATGGATGATTTGCTCATCACAGCTTCAACGCAGGAAGAGATGGAGCAAACCCGTGCTTGTGTTGTCACTGAAATCTAAAAAGCTGGACTTGAAATTTCTGCAACAAAAATCCAGGAAGTTCCGCCCTGCAAGTATCTGGGATGGAAGATACTGAGACGACAATAATGCCACAGAAACTACAGATCCAGACCAGTGTCAACAACCTGCAAGACTTACAACAACTCTTGGGAGAAATCAATTGGGTCAGACCTGTTTTGGGAATCACCAACGATGAACTAGGTCCACTTCTCAATTTGCTGAGAGGAAGCTGCCACATCACTTCTCCAAGAACCTTAACCCCCGAAGTTCATGCAGCGCTCGACAAGATCGCGGAAGCTCTCCAAAGAAGACAAGCTCATCGCTGCATTCCTGGAAAACCTTTCTTTTTTGCAGTTTTAGGAGAAAAAATGCAACTTTGTGGTCTCATTTTTCAGTGGGACCCTTCTGAGCCAGATCCTTTGTTGAGAATAGAATAATTTTTTCTTCCCTACAGGTCTCCAAAGACTATTTTCACAGTCTTAGGAATGATTGCACAAATTGTAATTAAAGCCAGAACCAGATTGTTAACTTTAGCAGGCCAAGAATTTGCAGTTATCTATTTGCCATTGAAAAAACACTGTCTTAATTGGGCAATGCAAAATTCTGATGATTTACATCATGCATTCTTGGGCTTCCCAGGTGTTTGTTCTATTCACTACCCAGCTCACAAACTATTGCAGGCAAAATTGTGTTTTAGAGAAAAACCTAAATTAAGTGAAGAACCTTTAAATGCAGTCACTCTCTTCACTGATGGCTCTGGCAAAAGTCACAAATTAGTCGTAACTTGGTTGAGCCAAAAAACTAATGCTTGGGAGTCAGACATTCAGATAGTAGAAGGGTCTCCTCAGATTGCTGAGCTTGAGCTGCTGCTTTTCAGCTCTTTTCTCAACCTCTTAACTTGATCACAGATTCTGCTTCAGTTGCTAATGTAGTTATGAGATTAGAAGGGTCAGTTTTAAAAGATGTTATTAATGATACTTTATATTGTTGGCTTTTATGTCTTTATACAACTTTGCGAAGGGTATGCTTCTGTCTCTACAGGTGCTGGAATTAGGTGGGTCCCAACCAAAAATGTCAAGCCATATCCCACCCCAGAACGTGTTGACGAGTCCAGAACCAAGGAAGCAAGTACGCAGACGTGAGATGAGCAGAGAGATCCCGGGTCACACCTGACATTCCTTGTGTATCGGTGCAACCTGCAAACTCTGATTTTTTGTTAATGTTATTTATAAGTGTGTCAATTGTATGTCAAATGTTTGTTTCATAGAGCTGACTTTTGACAAAAGTTTGGAGTTTTGTTTGTGTTAAAAGCAAAATTTTAAAAATTGATATATATGTAAGGATTCTGCCAAAACTTAGCTCATGAATAAGATGGAGCAAATGCAAGTTGTATGTTGGTATTGGTGGGTTTTAATTGTTTTTTTGTCATGCAGATTTGCCTGTGGAACAACCAAAAACAAATGTTTGGGTGACCTTAGCCAAGGCAGCCGGCTCGCATACTTTGTTTGTCTAATTCGGAACCAGAAAAACCTTTCTCAACCTGTCTGGTTGGTGTGCCAGTAAAAGAGTTGCCTTTGGTCAAAACACAATCCAATGGTACGCCAGGTGAAATTGACAATGGAAACAATCCCACATTGAATTGGAACGTTTGGGCCAAAAAACTTCCCAAGGCAGCTTCTGAACCCCAAGAATGGGAAATCCTTGGTTCTTTAACAATGGATTTTTGCTTTACCTTCATAGCTAGTGCTTGGCAAAAAGGAGAAAACTCCAAAGTTTAATGTTACTCCCCATTATTTTGCATACAGAAATTTGAGGTTTTGGTGTAATTTTTCAAACAGTTGCGATGTGCTTCCTGAGGCTGACCTATATCCATGGCAATTGCCTAAGGGATATTGGTTCATATGTGGAGACAGGGCTTGGCAAAGCATTCCAGCACACCTTGAAGGTGGCCCTTGTAGCATTGGGATGCTCACTGTAATCGCACCCTCAGCTAAAGCGGTCATGAAAAGGAAACAAAGGAAAAAAAGATCTGTTCCTTATTATGATGAGAACTGTCAGAGTGATTTCATGCCTTGGAAAGCTGCAAGAAGGGTTTCGGCAGGTATATTTTTACCCCAATTAGCTTCAGCAGTGGCTTTGAAACAATGAGATTGGGTTGGATGTTGGCTGAGCAAACAAACTAATGCCACATCCTCTGCCATTAGTGATATGTTAACCTATGTTGATCGTGTTAGACATGCTACCCTCCAAAATGGAGCAGCAATTGATTTTATTTTACTGGCACAAGGGCATGGTTGTGAGGAATTTGAAGGACTGTGTTGTATGAACCTGTCCGATCATTTGGAATGCATTCACAAAAGCATACAAAAACTGAAAGATTTGACAGCCCAAATTAAAGAGGATGGTGGATCCTGGTCGGTTGATCTGTTCCAAGAATGGAGCTTTGCACCTTGGCTAAGGCAACTTTGCAAGACAGGTCACTATATATTGGGTGTATTGGTAATGATGTTGATAGTAATCCCCTGCACACTTCAGTGTGTGTGACGAATGATAAACAAAACAGTCAAGGAAGTTTTGTCATACAAGAGAGAGAAGTAGGAAGTAGAAGCACAGAGAGTGTTCGAAATCTCACAGAAATGACGGATGAAGGTATAGAAATGGAGGAGAGTATTGAGTTAGGACCCTGGAATCGACAAGAGTTTTTTGAACAATGACTTATAACTATTGTCAGACGTGATTTATATCTTTTTCACTGACTGGGTCTTCACGGCATTAAATTGCTGTACTGTAACATAGCAATGATTAGTGTCCGCAAGAATAGGCCTCAAGCAGACAGTAAGCAAAAATATTATAGTAAGGCTATGAAACGCAAGTAGTGGACGACACGATTTTGAGGATTTCTTTTTGGGTCAACAGAGAGGGGGAATTGTGGGAATCCAGAGGATTAGAGGATTTTAGGAAAGTTGGGAAAAAGAAAGGCCTCAGAGACAGTAAGGATAGTGAAATGTTTGAAGATTTCTTTTTGAGTCAACAGAGAGGGGGAATTGTGGGAATCCACAGGATTATAGGATTTTACGAAAGCTGGGAAAAAGAAAGGCCTCAGAGCCAGTAAGGAGAGTGAAATGCTTAAGCAGCAGAAAAGATATATCGGCAGTAGCGAAGACATGAGAAATAGAGCAATAAAGCTGTGTAGTTTAGCTTTCTAAGTTGCAAAAGGTATATTTTAGTGAATATTTAGAAGGTTAAATATGAATGGGGCTCTATGCTTTGTCTTTTATAAACGAACCATTGTATGAGAGAAAAAGCTGCTATTGTTTTAACCAAAGCTACGTGTGCTTCATATGGTTGGATAGAGCGACTGTCAATATGCTTTTGCTCTATGTAATAGGCTGAAACTGGGTCTGAAACTGTCTTTTAATATGTTGCAACACAAAGTTTCCTTGGCCTGCTGTCTGGATAGTGAGCTGCTCATATCGATCCATTGCCATAGCCATGTAATGAGCTTGATGCTGCTTAAATCATCAGTTATGGCCATAATGACAGGTTTGGAATGGCAGGAGAGATGACATGAGGTGACAGGTGACAGGGTGTCAGGCAGGGCACAGGGAGTAAAGGCACCGGGGAAGCCAGGGGAGTCATGGGATGCTTAGGGGTGACAGGGTCAGGGAGAGTCAGCGGGTGCCATGGCAGGTTACAGGGGGTGACAGGGGTTCAGGGAGTGACATGGGCCTCCTGGCCCACCCACATCCAGCACACAGGGCCCATCCCCACAGCACTACCTTTGGTAGGGAGAGACAGGATTGGAATGGGGACATCCCTGTCTTTGTCACTGTCCCTGTCCCCTCGAGATGTGGGGGTGCCCATCCCAGTGCCCTGCCATGGGTGTTCCTGTATCCGTGCCCACAATGGATGTCCCCAGACTTTGTGTGCCCAGCATGGGGTGTCCCTGTCCCCAAACTCTCAGTGAGTATCCCCACCCTCTGCGCCCTGTCATGGGTGTGCCATGTCCACTGCTGGTGTCCCCAAGGCCACAGTGGGTGTCCCCATGGCCCCAGGCTGTCACCTGTGGCATCACCCTGCAGCCACTCGCAGTTGTAGTTGCGGAAGGACCCGGTGAAGCTCAGCTCGACCCTCGCCATGTCTCCTTTCTGACTGACTTTGATAACCTCAAAGGTGTCAAAGGGTGGGATCAGCACTTCCTACTCATTAGGATACTTGGAGAATTCCTGAATTTCCACACCGTGGCACGTGTGCGCCTGGAACACCGTGGCATCCCCAAATATCTCAGCAGTTTCTTCACTCTGTGATGCCGACAAGAATTGACCGAATCGGACAATGTCACCATGCTCTGCCTTGAACTGGTACTTGCGCACCCCCCGGTACACGTTGTGACACTGCCGTCCCTGAGCGTGCCTCAGTGTCACCAGGGCCTGGGTCAGCAGGAAATGCAGTGTTTTGAAGTGGAAGTCATCCTGGTATTCCTGGCTGGAGCGCCCGGCCGTGCGCACAGCTGGGTTGAAATTCTCATACGGGTCATCCATCGTGTAGGCCATGAGGGCGATGGCCTGGGCTGGGGACGACAGAGGGGACAGAGGGGACCCCCGACTCTGCCACTCGGCTGTGGCCTTAGGCCAGGCCTGGGCAAAAAGAGGGTTCTGCTGGAACTCGGAGTGATTGAGGGCCCGCAACGCCTGGCACGTGTGCGCCTGGAACACCGTGGCATCCCCAAATATCTCAGCAGTTTTTTCACTCTGTGATGCCGATGGGAATTGACCGAATCGGACAATGTCACCATGCTCTGCCTTGAACTGGTACTTGCGCACCCCCCGGTACACGTTGTGACACTGCCGTCCCTGAGCGTGCCTCAGTGTCACCAGGGCCTGGGTCAGCAGGAAATGCAGTGTTTTGAAGTGGAAGTCATCCTGGTATTCCTGGCTGGAGCGCCCGGCCGTGCGCACAGCTGGGTTGAAATTCTCATACGGGTCATTCATCGTGTAGGCCATGAGGGCGATGGCCTGGGCTGGGGACAACAGAGAGTACAGAGGGGACCCCCGACTCTGCCACTCAGCTATGGCCTTAGGCCAGGCCTGGGCAAAAACAGGGTTCTGCTGGAACTCGGAGTGATTGAGGGCCGGCAACGCCGCAATCATGGCAGGGCCGCAGCCCTGGTACTGGTCATCGAAGGAGTCCTGGGCCATGTCCAGGGAGATCACCTCAATGGCTGTAGTGGTCATGGTAGCTATTGCCAGCAGTGCCAGGGTCCGAGCCAGGGCGACCATTGAGGGCAGAGGCCACAGGGAGCAGGGTGAGACACTGTGGGCCACACAGGGGACACAGAGGAGACACAGGAGAGTTCCTTAGTGAGGGACTGGGCAGGGAGTGGGGTCAGCCCAGGGGGAAGGGAGTCATTCCTAGCCAGCAGATCCCTGGGCATGTCTGGGGTCCCTGATCCTGTATCCTGGGGTTACTTATGCATCCCCCAAAATCCCCCATCCCCCAGGGACCCCAATCCAAATTCCACAGCACCACAGCCCACCCAGAAGCCCAATCCTACTCCCATGAATTCAACTTCCTCCAGGACCCTAAACCAAATCCTGGGGTTACTCCCTGAGCGCCCCCCAGTGTCCTCCTCAGCCAGTCCCTCGTCCCCAATCCCACTCCCCTTCCCCAATTTTTTTGGTGGCACCCCAGAACCTCAAGCCAAATCCAGGCATCTCCCCCTTCCCCCAAAGTGTCTGCTAGCCACCCCCATGACCCCAATCCTGCTCCCACCATCCCGTGTCGCCCCTCACGACCCCCAGAGCATCCCATGACCCCAATCCCAAACCTGTGACTCCCCCACTATCCCCCCCAGCACCGCAATCCCAATCCCACAGTCTTGTGTCCCTCCTAGGTGTCCCTCTGGAGTCCTCCCAGCCCTCGATACCGAAATTGGCCCAAGTGAGTTCCCTGATGGAATTGCAGGTATTAGAAAGCCGGAATTCTTTCTCAGGTCAGACTTGCAGTAGATCTTTCCTGGTCCTGCAGGTCAGGGGGCACTCTGCCATGGGGTATTTATCCGTCATAATTATAAATATTCAATAAAATGTGCCCCTTATCTATTACAGAAACAGTGCTTTTCCCGTAAATAATTTGCATTGATCCACCTCCTCCGACAAGTCCTTTTATTGTCCTGGAGAGTCATAAAAATGGGGCTTCTGGGAGCCATTTTCACCAAATATTTGATATCAAAGGGACTTTCCCTGGAATGATTTCTTTGCTGATTCCTGTTACAGAACTTGCCAAAACCCCACTGGAGTTCCCTTTATCTCTTTCTCCACAGGTTCTAGCCATGTTTTTTATCCTGTGTGCACCCCTCTCCATCCTTTTATCATTTCTGCAAGTTTGTCTTCAGGTCCTGTGCAGCACCTTCAGGGGAACAGAAAATTTCCATTCTCTCTGTTATTTGTCACTTTGTGACAGAAATGCTCCAGTCCTGTCATCATCCATGCTGCCACCCAGGATCTCCAGGTCTTTCCTGTCCTGAGGAGCCCAGAATGGGAAAGATCACTGGGCAGAGCTGAACACGGCACTGGGCTGAACTGGACACGGCACTGGACAGAGCTGGATATGGAACTGGACAGAGGTGGACACAGCCCTGAGCAGAGCTGGAAATGATGTTGAACAGAGTTGGGCACAACACTCCTGATGTGCCTCACTGGGCAGCAAGAGGGGCACTAACACTCCCTGACTTCCTGGCCCCTGCTCGTTTGAGTGCCCCCCAGATCCCTCCTGGCCACATGGCTAGTTCCACTGGTCACCCAGCAGGACCCCCAGGTCATTCCCCAGAGCTGCTCCAGCAGGTCCCCGCCAGCCAGGCAGGGCACTGGTGCTAAAATGGGCTAAAATCAGCCTGAATCACCAACCCTGAACTGACAAATGCAGGTGAAGTACCAGAGCTGGGCCTGGCCATCCATCAGCTGGCCCTGGGAATGTCCAGTCCCCTCTCAGACAGAAATTCCTCTCCTCTATTCCTACTTGGGATGAAATGTGTGTGAGCTTCCTCCCTCGGGAAGGGGCTGGTCTCCAAGGATCCTCCTCAAGGCTGAGAGAAAGAGACGCTCCCACGAGTGTTGGTGTGGGGTGTGACATGGAGCCCTGCTTAGGAATTGTCACATTTTGCTGGCTTGGTCAAAATTACTTAATGGAATGGTTTCCATAGAATAATTTAATAGATTTGATTTGACAGAATAACTTAATAGAATTGCTTTGCACGATGGCCTTGTTTGCCACAGGGGCCACAGTGGCTTCAGCACCTCATGGTTGCTATGATTGAAGGAAAAAGAGATAACAAGGGCATTACTAGTGTAAGAAGGATAATCGAGAAGATTGTGTTTCTAAGGGGACTGGAGCAAAGGGTCCGAGTAGAAAAATTCATACAAACATAGTGAGCTATAAATACTGGTAAAGTGGTGTAATAAATGGCTTTGCTTTGCTGGCATTGCAGTGTCCATGTCTTTCAATCCCCGCACACCAGCCATCCAGTCACAATCCCAATCCTGGGTTTACCCTTCCAGCGTCCCCCTGGTGCTCCCCAGGATCTCATTTCTGCTCCCAGACCATTGTAGCCCTCTTGTGACCCCAGGCTGCTCAGGAACGTCACCCAAATTCCTAAAGCCACTCCCTCATCCCCCCACCCCCAACCCCGCCACCTTGGCCCTCTCCCAGACCCCATTCCCACTCCCAGACCCGCTAACAATTTCATGTCACCCCAGCACCCCAACCCAAATTCGAGGATCAACCCCTGACCCTACAATGTCAGCCTGGAGCCCTCCATGCCGCCCCGCTACAATCCCACTCCCATGTCCCTCCACAAGTGTCCCCTGGAATCCCACCAGCCCCCGATATTGAAATCGGCCTGAGTGAACTCCCTGATGGAACTGGAGGTATCAGAAAGCCGGAATTCCTCCTCAGCTTGGACTCACAGCAGATCTCTCCAGGTCCTGCACATCAGGGGAGACCTTGCCAAGAGAATCTGTCCATCTCTATTATACATATTCATCAAAATATACTTCTTAGCTAATACAAAACCAGCACTTTTCCCGTAAATGATCTGCATGGCTCTGCCTCTTTTAGGAAATCATTTTTATTGCCCTGGAGAGTCATAAAAATGGGGCTTCTGGGGGTCATTTTCATTGAGTGCTCCAATATCTCAGATGACCTTGCCTCAAACTTTCACTTTTGCAGGCACAGCTCCTTCTGTGTTACACAATTTGCCAAAAATCCCTCACTGGAGATCCCTTTATCTGTTACTCCACAGGTTCCAGCAACCTTTGCACTTCTGTGTCCACACTTCTACATCCTTTTATTATTTTTTGCTCGTTCTTCTTTAAGCCATATCCAACACCATCAGGAGGACTGAAACTTTCTATTCTCTCTCTTATAGCTCACCTGCCATGACCCCAGTCCCGCTCCCACAGTCCCATGTTCCCCCAGCTCCCACCAGTCCCGTTTCCCACTGCTCACTGAGTTGCTGCCACACCTCAGATACCAATATGGGTCCCCTATCAGATGACATCCCTGTAGGCACCTTCAGCCTGGGGATGATCTCTTGGGGGAGTACCTGGGTGACTTCTCTGGCCTTGTTGCTGTGGCAGGAGATGTTCTGGAGGCCCAAAAAAGGATCCACCAACACCAGGAGATTCCTGAGCCCATGTTGGAGTGGTAGCTCAGAAAATCCATTTGCCAGGTATCGGCTTTTAGATAAGCAGCCAATTTTCAATCTGCCCAACTCTATCCAGGCCTCACTTCTGGGGGTGACATTGTCAGAAAAATTTCTCAAGAGTTAACAGCAGGATTCTTTGCTGCAGAACCTCACACACACCATTAATGTGAGTCTATTTCCCAAACGGACTTTTCTATCCCGAAGCTGGTGTGCCCTGGATTGTAACATGGCCACTTCTTTGGGCAGCTGGGTGGTATCGAGGAGGGACAATAACTCTTGCTTATATTTAATTGGAAATCCTTGTGCTGTTAATTGACTGGTTCTTTCTTTCCATATGGCTCCATGGGAATGAGCAATGCTCAAGGCTGATGGTATGCAAGTTCCTACATTTGCTCTTTTACTCACTGCCAATTCCAGAGCTCTTTGTAACACTGCAAACTCCTCCCCTTGTTCCATATCTTCTTGCATTTACAGCAAGAAAAGTATATACCATAAGCTTTTGTCCCAAATTGGATTTCCTGGCCACTTGGATGAGGAGAACAGTCGATGCTATGGCCCACATTCATCTGGGCCAATCCTGGCTATGTAGAGTTGTTTTCAAGAGCCGGTATTCCTGGCTGGAGCGCCCGGCCACGCGCACAGCATCGTTGAACTTCTTGTACACGTCCTTCATCGTGTAGGCCATGAGGGCGATGGCCTGGGCTGGGGATGCCAGAGGGGACAGAGGGGACCCCCGTCTCTGCCACTCGGCTGTGGCCTTAGACCAGGCCTGAGCAAAAACAGGGTTCTGCTGGAACTCAGAGCTGTTGAGGGCCGGCAACGCCGCGGTCATGGCAGGGCCGCAGCCCCGGTACTGGTCATCGAAGGAGTCCTGGGCCATGTCCAGGGGTATCATCTCAACAGCTGTGGTGGCCATGGCCAGCAGTGCCAGGGTGTGAGCCAGAGTGGCCATGGAGTGGAGATGCCACAGGGAGCAGGGGGAGACACTGGAAGACAGTGGGGACACAGAGGAGGGTTCCTCAGCGAGGGACTGGGCAGGGGAGTGGCGTCAGCTCAGGGGGAAGAGAGGCACTCCTGGCCAGCAGATCCCTGGGCATGTCTGGGGTCCCTGATCCTGAATCCTGGAGTTATTTATGCCTCCCCAACATCCCCCAGCCCTCCAGGGACCCCAATCTCACAGTACTATGTTCTCCTGGTCCCCCAGAAGCCAAATCCTCATGCCATGACTACAAGTCCCCTCAGCCCCAGCAGGATGCTGACCCAAATGCTGGGGTCACTCCCTGAGCCCCCCAGTGCCCTCCTCAGCCGGTCCCCAGACCCCAATCCCACTCTCAGTCTCCAATTTCTTCTGTGTCACCTCAGAACCTCAACCCAAATACTGGGCATCACCACCTGCCCCCACAGTGCCTCCCAGCCCCCCCATCACCCCAATCCCACTCTCACCATCCCGTGTCCCCCCTCATTTTCCCCCAGACCCCCCCATTACCCAAATCCCAGACTTGTGACTCCCCAATTGTCCCCCCACATCCACAATCCCAATCCCTCAGTCCCGTGTCCCCCCTCAAGTGTCCCCAGGGGTCCTCCCAGCCCCAATACCAGAATCGGCCAGAATGATCTCCCTGAAGGAACTGGAGGTATCAGAAAGCCGGAATTCTTTATCACTTCAGACTCACAGTGGATCTCTCCTGCTCCTGTAGGTCACGGGGGATTTGCCACAGGGTCTTTATCCACTACAATTACAAATATTCATTACAATGTGTCCCTCACCTAGTACAGAAACTTCACTTTTCAACAAATAATTTGCATGGCTCCGCCTCTTTCTCGAAATCCTTTTATGGTCCTGGAGAGTCCTAAAAATTTGTTTTCTCAGTGCGGTTTTCACTGAGTGCCCCAATATCCCAGATGACCTCAGCTTTGAATTCAAAACCATCACCTCCAGGCATCACGGAAAGAGGAAACACTCCTGGGATTACTGGCAAATGGATTTTCTGAGCTACCACGACAACATGGGCTGAGGTGTCTCCTGGCATTGCTGGATCCCTTTTTGGGGTGCAGAACGTTTCCTGCCACACCAACAATGCCAGGGAAGTCACCCAGGTACTCCCCCAAAAGATCATCCTCAGGCGCAAGGTGCCTACAGGATGTCCGTTGAGGGATTTTTGCAGGAAAATGGACATAGTGCCAAAGCCAGCCTTTACGGGTCTGAGTAGAATTTCACATTGTGCCTGATAGCTCAAAAACAGGAAGAGCCTACTCAGGAGAAAAACAACTCCAGGATGTCAAGCAAGCTAAGAAGACGGAGCAAAAAACCACAGAAGAGCACTTGAAGGCAAAACAATAAACCACAGTGAGATGCATGAAGAACAAAGACTAACCAATCAGCTGAAGGCTTGAGACGTGTGCACAGACAGGCTTAACCAATAATGTATTAGCTTGAGGTGTGTGAACAGTAGAACACAGCAGAAATATAGCTTGTTCTTGTAATAAATTTGGCTGCTTTTGTTCATATTGGTCATGGTGCGATGTCCCATTGCTGATCCCCCGCAGATGTCATCTGATAGGGGACCCCAACAGGTATCTGAGGTGTGACAGCAACTGGGCAGGAAGTGGGAAGTGGGACTGGGGGGAACTGGGGGAACATGGGATGGTGGGATTGGGGTCTTGGGGGCTGAGCAATAAGAGAGAGAATAAGAGAGAGAATAAGAGAGAGAATAGAAAGTTTCAGATCCCTTAATGGTGCTGGGTACATCTTAAAGATGAATGGGCAAAAAACCAATAAAAGGATGGAATAGGGTGGACGCAGCTGGACAAGGGTTTCTGGAACCTGTGGAGGAACAGATAAAGGGAAATGCAGAGAGGGGTTTTTGGCAAATTCTGTAACACAGAAGGAGCAGCACCTGCCCAAAGCAAAACTTTGGGCCAAGGTCATGTGGGATATTAAGGCACTCGGTGAAAACCACACCCTGACACCCCATTTCTATGACTCTCCTGGACAATAAAAAAAATTTCCTAAAAGAGGCAGAGCCATGCAGATTATTTACAGGAAAGTGCTGGGTTCTGTATTAGATAAGGGACACATTTTAATGAGCATTTCTAATTATGATGGATAAATACCCCATGGCAAATTCCCCCCTGACCCACAGGACCAGGAGAGATCTGCTGTGAGTCTGAGCTGAGAAAGAATTCCAGCTTGCTGATACCTCCAGTTCCATCAGGGAGTTCACTCTGACCAATTTCAGTATCCGAAACTGGGGGACCCTTGCAGGGGAGAACATGGAACTGTGGGACTGGGGTCTGGCGGGGCACATGGGGTGTCAAGGGACTGAAGTCCTTGGGTGGTCCGGGGGCCAGCGATGGGAGACACAGGACCATGGGAGTGGCAGTGGGGTACTGGGGGACACTTGAGGGGCACATGGGACTGGATCAGGGTCCAGGGTCCAGCAGGGTGGTCATGGGACTGAGAGTGGGATTGGGGTAACGGAGGGGATAGGGACCAATGGGACCCATTGTGGACCCCAAACCTTGGGTCAGGGTCCTTGGGGTCATAGGATCACTGGGTGGGGGGGGTACAAGGGATTGGAAGAGGGACTGGGGTAATGGAGGCACTGGGGAATACCGGGAAGTGGGGACACAGAACTATGGGAGTGGAATTGGGAGTCTGGGGGACACTGGGTTTACTGGTGGGGGGGGGGGGATGATGAGGAAGTGACCCCAGGATTTGAGTCAGGTCCTGCAGCAGGGACGGCAAGACATCTTGAGGGGGGAATAGGACTTTAGGAGTGGGACTGGGAGTCAAGGGTTCTGGCGGACACTGGGGCATCCAGGAGTGGCCCCAGGATTTGGGATCAGGTTCCAAGACATGCCCAGGGGTCTTCTGGCCAGGGTTGCTCCCACTCTCCTTGGGCTGACCCCACTGTCACTCCCCAGCCCCTCCACAAGGAAGCCTCCCTATGTCCCACCATGTCCCTCAGAGTCCCCTCTGTCCCATTAGTGACCCCTCAGCATCCTCTGGTGCCCACCAGAGTCCTCCCAGGGTCCTCTGTGTCCCCTCTATGTCTCACAGTGTCCCACACTGGTTCCTGTGGCCTCTCTTCTCCATAGTCCCCACTGGCTCAGACCCTGGCACTGCTGGCAATGACCGTGGCCACTGCAGCCATCAAGGTGGTGCCCCGGACATGGCCCAGACCTCCTTTGATGACCAGTACCTGAACTGTGGCTCTGCTATGGCTGAGGTCTTGCTAGCACTGAGTTCCAGGAGAACAAGGAGTTTTCCCAGGTCTGGGTGAAAGCCACGACCAAGTGGCAGAAGAGGGGGTCGGATTCATCCACTCGTTCCCGAGATCAGGCCATTGCCCATATGGTCTACACAATGAAGGACGTGTACAAGGGGTTCAATTAAGCTGTGCGAACAGCTGGAAACTCCAGCCAGGAATACCGGGACAACTTCCATTTCAAAACACTGCATTTCCTGCTGACCCAGGCCCTCCAGAAGCTGAGACACCCTAAAAAGTGTCTGGACGTGTTCCGAGGGGTGAATATCTAACAGTTTGAGGTGAAGACTGGCGATAAAGTCCGCTTTGGTCAATTTGCTTCAGCGTCGCAGAGCAAAGAGGTCACCCAGGGTTATGGCACAGACACGATATTCAAGGTGCACACATGCCATGGTGTGGACATCCATAACTTCTCCTTCAATCAAAGTGAGAAGGAGTTGCTGATCCCATCCTTTGAGACCTTTGAGGTCACTGATGTCCACACAGAAGGAAGCATGTTGAACATTTTGCTTCGCTCCACTGGGAACTTCAGCAACTACAACTGAGAGTGGCTGCGAGGTGACATCATGGGAACAACCTGGGGCCAGAGCTGGGGATGAGGTCAAGGACAGCAATGCTGGAGCACAGGGGAGGGGGACACCCAGTGCCAGGCAAGGGGGACAGGGACATTCACAGCTGGGGTTGGGGGGACAAGGTACATGGTAAATGGCTAGGCACAGGGGAAATGGACCTTGTTATGGCTCCCTCTGACCCCACATCCTGAGGGCCACACATCACCTGTGTCCACCCCACCATGACCCTCCTGATGCCCCCATGACCTTCTCACCCCATGATCCCCCTGACTCCTCTCTTTGTCCCCACAGGTGGGAGTCTCCCCAGGAACTCCCCCCACTTTGGAGGAGTTCTCCTGGCTACCGTGGCCATGGCAGTGGCCATTGCTACCCTCTAAGCCATGAGACCACCAAGGTCACTGTGGAAGGCCACCAGGACCCCCAGAGAAACAAGGCCACCAAGGCGACTGATGCTATTATGACCACTACGGTCCCGTGACCACCAAGGTCACTGTGGAAGGCCACCAGGACCCCCAGAGAAACGAGGTCACCAAGGCTACCGAGGCTATTATGATCACTATGGTCCCTTGGTCCACTGTGAACACTATGGCCGTTATTGCCACTGTGGACACTGTGGACACAGTGACCATTATTGCCAGTGTGGCCCCCATGGTCACTGTAACGATGTGTCCATCCTGGAAAAGCCCCTCGGAGAGCTACTCAGCAAGGGAGCAGTGCCAGGGCACCAGGACCAGCACAGAGGAGCTGGAGCAGCCAGGACAGCGCAGAACAGCAGAGATTGGGCAGCACCTGGGGCCACTTAGGCACTTCCTGATAGAGGGGCTTGGGAGTGGCAATGTCACGGCCACTTCCTAACGCTCCTTGGCTTCCTTGCATCATGCATCAATAAATTGCTGCTTGCTCACCTTGTGTATAAAAAATGTATCAAAAACTCGATCCTTGCTCCCCTGGCGTCCCAAATGTTTATCAGAAATTTGATCCTTGCTTGCCTGGCATATCAAAAGCTTACCTGATGTATCTCTACAGCTCCTTTAACGCCTTTCCTGCAGGGAACCTCATTTCCTAAAATAAAGCAGTTCCTGCAGTTTTTGTTAGAGGCAATTCCAAGCTTTAATTTTCCAAACCTCGATCTACAAAGAGGTGCTGGAGAAAGGTTTCTCCCTTTTTCCTCATTCACTGCAGCCCCTCGCAAAAGACCTGGTAGGGCCGAAGCATGTACAGGGAAGGGATGGAGCTGTGGAAGGGTCTGGAGCACCAGGAAGGGCTGAGGGAGCTGGTGGGGGCTTCTCAGTGCAATCAAAAAAAGGATGAATAATCAGTTTGGGGCCAGTTCCAAAGCTCCTGATTTGAGAAAACACTTCAGAAGAAACATTGGGAGGAAACAAAAAAAAACCAAACCCAACAGAATGAAGAATGGTGAAAAATAAAATAGAGAAATGGGGATGGAGGCAGCATCACCCATTTATTTATGAAAAAATTCCCATGGTGTTTCGCTCAGGAAAATCTTATTTCTTTCAAATCAGGGATTTTCCCTCTTTACCCGCTCATCTCCTGGAGTTGCTGTTCAGGAATTGTCCACAGGAGGGCAGCAGCGAGCAGGGGAAATCAGCGGCACTGCGCATGTGCCGCTGCCGGCTGCAGTTCCGGGTGCCACCAGCAGGCGGCAGCACGAGCTGCTGGCGCTGCCGAGCGCCCGCCCCATCCCGGCCCTGGGGCTCTGCAATGGTTTGGGATGGAGCGACCCTCACCTCCTGGCCCTGCTCTTCCCAGCACCCCTGGGTCCCTCCTGGCCCCAGGCCACACAGCCAGCTCCTCTGCTCACCCATCAGCACACACAGGACCTTCTCCACAGCTGCTCCAGCAGATCAACCCCAGCCTGGACCTCCACTGAGGACTGTCTCTCTCCAAGCAGGACCTACCCTTGCCCTCTTCAACCTCCCAATTTCCAGCTTTTAAAGTCCCACTGAAGTGCAGGTTGTGGCACGATGCTCTGCCTAGAATGAGCCCACGGTTCAATGCCTCATGTGTGGCAATCAGGGCTGCACTGAGATGGATCTTGTGCTGATTATGGCACTGAATTGGGCCAAAACCAGCACAAATCACAATCCCAGAACTGACAATGAGGGTAAACCACCAGATGGGCGTGGCCGTCCATCAGGTGACCCTGGGAGTGTCCTGTCCCCTCTCAGACAGAGATTCCTCTCCCCTGTTCCTGCTTGAAATCTCCCTGGGGAAGGGAATGCTCCCCAGGGATCCTCCTTGAGGCTGAGAGAAAGAGACATTCCCACAAGTGTGGTTCTGGGGAGTGACATTGAGCCCTGCTTAGGAATTTTCACTTTTTGCTGTCTTTGTCAGAATTCTTTAAGAGAATAGTTTTGATAGAATTATTTAATAGAGTTGCTTTGCACAAGGGCTTTGGTGGGCACCGCAGTCCAAATGGCTGTGGTATCCTTGTGGCTCAGGGAGTCTTGGTGATTGTGGTGGCCACAGTGGCCTTGGTGCTTATT